CGGACATAACGATAATCCCTTCGTAAACCCACTTCAAATTTCTTTGTCGTTTGCTGCTTTTACACAAATAACACACATTTTTAACCAGTGACCGGTATTACAATTTTACACAGATTTAAAAGTTCATTGAGCTGTTACTTTAATTACAAGTTTTAGCAAGACGAGTTCATTGAGCTGTTACTTTAATTACAAGTTTTAGCAAGACGAAACTGTTTACTAAATGAATTCAACAAATGTCAAGCTCATCTAGATCAATTTTATTATTTAACAAAAAAATGTTTTTAATTACAAGCTATTTTAAATGTCGGTATAAATGTTAATGTTTTTTTCTTGCCAAAAATATAATATGCATCTATTAAAACTTATTGTCTATTGATTAAAAAAACATCTTTCCCTTCTAGGTTTGTAATGAGCACAATTACGACCTTCTTATTATCTTTCCGGTTTTAATTTTTTCGCAGATATATTTAAAAGACCATACCTTACTTACATGCCACGAGTTTTCATATTAGTAAGCAATATTGAAAACGAATAATTTGATATAAAGAGCTATTTTATTTTTAACAGATTAACACTTTGTACTTTTTAAATCGTGCATCAATATTTAAAAATTTATTATATATCTATTGTTCATTCGTTTATCTTAATTGTGAAGCATGTTTATTTTTTTTATTAAAAAGTCTCACCGCTTGTATAACATTATACATTCCAATATACATATAAAACATTACGTATAACATAAATATTGGAAAACATATATAAAACTAACCACCAGTAAAATATCTTAAATCGATAACGCTCGGAGCGGATTAATGATAGATACACGAGGATGCTGTTCTGCTTGAGTGATTTACCTTACAAAAAGGCGGACACTTTAAAGTTTAAAAGGACTTAACATCAGTTTGATTCCGTTTAACGGGGGCGTGGCTAATTAGTTTGACGCAGTTTAACCACATCTCAAATTAACTTGAATGACCGCAAGGGAAACTATTTGACTGGTATTAAAATGATTTGATATGGATTGAAATGCATTAAAAATAATTTTTAATTTTTGTCAATCTTTATTCAATTTTCATTAATCATTTTTAAATGCCGTTAATGCGTTTTTGTCCGTTCAAGTTAAATTCGAGTTACTAGTGGATGTGTGAACAAAACAAACAGACATAATAGGTAAAAATGTCAAAAATAGGGGTACATCAGTCAACATTGTGTTATAATCTTAATCACTATAAAAACAAACAAATATGTAACAAAGAAACACAAAAAGGCAGATGTACAAAGCACATTAGCAAAAATGAAAGACAAGAATACAAAAATTTACCATAGCACAATAACACAATGACGGCATGTATAAGTTCAGAGCCACGTCATATGTAACAAAGAAACACATAAAGGCATATAGACAAATGACATTAGCAAAAATGAAAGATATGTGTTATAAAACAGATTTAACAGATGTAATATGATACCAAATTAGACAACTCTCCACCAGAGACCAAATAACGTAGACGTTGCCTATTCTACCCTTTACACAAGTAGTCCCATTATAGATCCAAAACACAAGTTGAAAACATATCAAAATGAAGATACGATCCATGAACAATTATTGGTCCCATAAAAAATCTTAAAGAGTTATTGTTGTGTTTTGTAATCACAACTTTGGAATGTTTGGATATTGCACTAAAAAATCAAAATCAGCACTTTAAACATTGCATGCCTCTGAAGCGCTCTTTGATTTTACTTTAATTTGGAACGCTCAAAACAGAATATATGAAAGCCAAAGATGTATAAAAACCAGAACAGTTGAAGAGATATTTGACTTAACTGGACAAACAAATAATGGCCAAATTCATTCAAGGTCAACTTTACCTGAGGAAGTTAAAACCTTAGTTTCTTCATGATTTCAAAATGTTTCATGGGCCAATTTTATGAAGATTTGTACTTGTTAAATACATCACTTCACCTGCATTCCTTTCAAGTTATGAACACTTGTGATTATAAGTCCTGGGGTTCCAAATATATTTCTGTCGTTGACGAGATCATGCTTTTGTCGGTCTGTTAACCATGTTTAGTGTTTAACCTAAATCCGTAGGATTTGCTCTGATTGATTGTAAGTATGAGAAAACAATTTTATCTATAAGTTGAAAGTAAGCTTTGAATTAGTTTTTAATTACAGAGGGCACTCTAAGATCGATATTAAAGGTCTTTTGGCTTTTTATTGGTTGTGTTGTGTGTGCAGTACAAACCTGACAAGTAAGATTTCCCAATCTACTGGTTTTCATTTGTGAATTGTGTTTGCATATTTCACCAGTGCCTCCAGGTTGAAAGGATGTTGCATGACAAAACACTTTGAAGTCCCATCGCATTCTGTATGTGCCTGTCCCAAGCCAAGAGACTGTAGTCCGTCCATACTCAAGTGGTTAACATTTGTCGCTGTCTGCAATGTTTGCTCTATAACTTTGTTATCACTTTGACCGTTTAGCCTTTTTGATTTGAGCACAACTGGCGAGTTTATTTCAGACGACATTTATATCATCCTTTAAAAGATTTTTTTAAATTGTGTTTGCCATGGCGTTGTCAGTTTATTTAGTTAGTTAGTTGTTAAGAGTTTTAAATGCGCATCTGGTATCTTCCAGGTCTGTTATAACATAGTGGAGAATATGTTTTCAGATAACTCCTTAAGGTCAAACTAAAAAAGTCAGTTGTAATTGCTAGCCGCTTTTAAATGTTTACAGTAAAGTCTAATCAATGAAAAACATATTAAAAGGTTACAAGAGAGTTTAAAAAACGCAACTTAAACAATGAAAAATAAAACTGAAACACAAAGAACACATGGACAGAAAATATAACTTAGAATGCATATTACCCTTACTTCTACAATGTGTATATTTCAAATATTTAGCATTTATATCAACAAATTTATCTACATTAATACAAATGCCTGATTCATTCGAACTTTATGACAACTATTTACAAATAGAGGTCAAGATGCAACGATGCGGTGGTAAAATTACGTGTTCGAGTAGAAACTGATTATTATCAAAGTTGACATGTACACTAACCTTTTTAAAATTGTTTGCCGAACCTGTTTATATAAAAATGGAAAATAACATTTTCACAAAACGTTATGCCTTTATGAGTTTAAAGAAGATATTATATCATATATTAGAGAATTGAATGGGGATTGTGTCAAAGAGACAATAATCTGACCAAAAAAAAAAAGAAAAAAAACTTCAACAACGAGAGTCGGGGTTAAGCTGGCCCCTAATCAATAATGGAACTAGCTCAACGAAATGGACGCCACACAAACTTCGAAACATACAAATTAACCATAATAAAAAAATATAAAAAAACAGATTATCAAGAGGCTAATTAGAGGCTCCTTACTTAGACCTTGCCCAAAATGCAATAGGGTTAAACATGTTTTGTCAGATCTCAACTAAGGTATGTTAGGAAATTTCTTTAAAAAGTTTACTTACATTTGTTAACAAAAAAAAAAAGATTTATTTTATGTTCATATGTGCACTTTATCTGTACGAGAATCATTTTATTATATACTAGCAATATGTATTTGTACACAGTATACATGGTATAGTAAATGAACAAATACTGACATTTCAGTTTTGAATAGGAATTAATATTTTAAACGCATACCATATCTTGACAATGAAAACTTTTCGGATTGAATATCCAGATAAACGGTTTTGTTTCGGATACAAGAATAATAAAGCTATACACAGTTTTAATTTTCATAGAAAGTAGGAATTAAACGTGTGTAAAAATATAAATTTAAATATTTGAGTAAGAATAATAGTGTAAATGGTCCATTTAATATAACTTGGAGCTCCTGTTTTGTGGAATCGCGTTTCGTTAAATTGATTTCTGTTTGCTAAATTACTTCAAGTGACAAATGTCTAATGCATGATTAAGTCGAAGTCACATTAAGCAATTATAGCTTGATTTAAAAATAAAATGCCCCAGACATCATTAAAGACACATGCATGTGTATGTGTTGCAACAAACAAGGTAACATGTACTCTCATCTGAAAGGATAACAGTTGGTATATATGGCTTTTCTAAAGTGAATACACTATTAAGGCGTCTTAGCATTTTTGAAGTATCATCACCCTTTTTTGTCTTAATATTATATATCTATGTTATAGATGTGTACTGACTGTGGTAATGATGAGTTCAATATTACATGCTTTAAATACATTTAGATATAAGTTACATTTATTTGCTAATTTATATTTTAAAACGTAATAAAAGTACGTATCAGAAATAAGATTAGATGAATATAGTGTAACATGTTCGCAATCAATATTCTTATTAAATAAAACATGAAGAAAAAACAAATACCGCGTTAATTGTTGGACAACAGACAAATCTTTTAAATAAGCTTTATTTCACATGTTTAAATAATGCAATATGTGCAGTGGTTTGACTGTTTTTTTTATCCGTATGTCTATGTAAATACCAGGTCTAAAATTGTTTGAATGACCTATTTTATCGATGTAGAATTAGTTTAAAAACGACTGGATTAAATTGAACGATTTTTTTTATCAATCGTCTTCAGTTATTCAAAAATTATTTCATAAATGGTTTATACGGTATGGGTGATACATTTAAAAAGTGGTAACTAGTGTCAACATACAGTGTTATTCCGGAAGCAGGAAGCAATTAAATACTAACATGTGTTGAATATCAAATTTCTAATATTCTTTTCATTTCAATCATTTTCTTTGAATTATTATAATTGGTTGAATGATGGATATTTAAAAAAAAACAATGTTTACTATAAATAAATTTCACTCAATGATGACGGTATCAAATTAAAGGAAACTTAGACACAACCAAAACAAACATTATTATATTAAAGAATAATGATAGTTCTATTTTTGGTATTTATACCGGATTTCTGTAAGCAAGCTGCAATGTTTTCGATTGTTGCATATGTTTTTTTTTATTATTCATTCTAGTTCTTCGAATTTATACCGGATTGTTGTTTGTATAAATACTCTGGTATTAATCATATTGTCTACTCTTAGATAAGATGCTTTTTTTTTGTTTATAGTCAGTTTCAGATACTCAATTGCTAGGAGATATTCTACTAACCACATTAAAAAGGTAAGGAGACGGTCATTCATTTGTTAGACAAGTTTGTGTTGAACTTACATATTTTACTCTTTCATGCATAGACCATGAACGTTTTCTACCATAAGAAAAGATATATTCTCTCATATACTGCAAAAAAAATTCAAACAACACGTAACAAATTCCATGCGTCCAAAGCGCGTATATACCTTCATCAGAAACTTTCAAAGCCGAATATTTGAAAGCTAAGATACATGTAAGAACCGAATCAGTCGAAGAGCTATATGACTAAAAAGGACATACAAATAGACAAATCCATTTAAGGTTAACTTTGTCTGATCGATTTGAAACCTTAGTTTCTTTACAATTCAAAAAATTATAAACGTACACATTTTAGAAAGGTTTGTTGTTAATCATATCAGTAATTCGGTACTGACTACAAAGCTGATGATACCGTAGGGGACTGTACAAACTATACATAAAATGTTAAGCCTTTTCAACCATTATTTTACAATCCAAATAGAGCTGGCGTCATATTTTGAGACCTTTTAAATTTGTATTTTTGTATTTTTATAAACTAACCTAATTTAGACGATTCAATGCAAAACAATCAACAACGACTAATTTTCAGATTGTTAATACAGGATATGACAATGGTTTTACCTTTATATGTTTCTTTTAAACTTGATTGAATGAGCTCTTTCATGACTGGATCACTTAAAAAAAAGATCATACGATCATATTCCCTATCAAAATTCAGTTGATATGTTTGACACCCATTCATTAGACCAACGAATAGCTGAGTATATATGATTTAGTATGGAACATTTAGTATGTAGTATACATTCATAACCGTTTTCCATGTAATTATCTTACAATTTACTTATATTTCTGTAAGTCTTAGCTAACTGGAATTTTCCAAAATCGATTGGTTATTTTCGTTTATCAACATGCGCTTTGCTAGTTCTCGTTCGGTCATTATTCAAGTATGACGTCAATTGTATTTGACGTCCTCTAATTATGTTTTTTTTTGTATCATGCAAGAAGAGCAACCATATTTGATAGCCTTACACAGATATAACACATATGTGCAGGTATTTAATTCAACAAGTTTGCATAACTACCGACACGGGCATAACGTACATGTTGGGTAATATACACATAGCTAAAAGGGTCCAAGGGAATGTACAAAAACGGAATATTAACAATTAGATATCGATAAATTGTATCATTCGTGTATTGGTTTGTATAGAGCTTCACGTGTGAAAATCATATATCCAATTCTAGAGATGGACATTTTAGCTGCCAATAGTATATTTATTAAAAGTAAGTTCGCATGTGTGAATTTTCGCAGAAATGTAAAGGAATTTTTGATTATTTTAAACAAACATATTATCAAAGTAACGACAGTTTTACCAAATTGATCAAGTAAATGGAGTTAAGACCGACCCTTACTGAGTTTGACAATTAATTAAGATTAATAACAATAACTATCCAGGAACACGTCTTATATATGTTAGGCACATATGGTGACAATAGGAATGCCTACAAACTATCAATAAGCTTATTGTTCATGTTCTCAAGGAGGAAATAACCAGCTTTAATCAGCTTTATGTACATACGAAGATGTGGTATGTTTGCCAATAAAACACATAGACAGTTAGTAACTAAAGGTCACCGTACGACCTTCAACAATGAACAAACCCCTAGCATCATATCTAATTATAATTTGACCCGAATCGACAAATATAAAACAGTTCAGACGAGAACACTAACGGCTTGATTTATTATGAACAGTTAACATGGTTAAGGAGGCAGTTCAAGTATAAAAAAGTGTTATTTGTACTGGAAAATGTTTTTTTTTCACAGCTTGTGGAAATATATACTCAGTTAAGGCTTGATGTGTTTTTCACGTAAAAAATGTAAACATTTATTTATTTAGATAAGTCTTATTTTGACACCTTCTTATATACTATTTCCAATTGAAAACTCTGATTTTACAATCAAATGTTTCAAGTGATGTCCATTTCTGTGCCATATATTATAAATGTTACAAAACTGGACGATGGGGTAACTGATTGTCGTGATGTGGATATTTCGCTTCTCTTTAAACATATTTAAACTAATTTCTGTCAATATTAGAATTCCTAAGAATACTTAAATTCGAAAAAAATACATTGGAGTTGTTCAAATTTTCTAATTATGGGTACATACTTTATGTCTCACTTTGTCTGTCTGAGTGTGTCAATCAGTCAAACAATCTAAAAGATATAGATGGCATTTTACATATTTGTAGAAGTTCATAATTATATAATATTTTTAAAAAATTGACAAATTAGTTTTGGATCAAACTTAGTTGTTACAAAATCGCTAAAATCAAATTAACAAATTATAGGACAGGACGCAGGTAAATTTCAGCAAAGATGTGCATGATTCGTAGATAGACATATGCTATTTCCATCAAATATATATATATATTATTAGTTACATAGTGTGCTAGTGACCTAACACGGTATATATGGGGTCAGTAAATTCCATATGGGGTGAAAGCGAAGCTCGAATCCCTATATGGAATTTACTGACCCCATATATACCGTATTACGTCACTAGTACACTATGTAACGAATTTATCTTACCGACTATCTTAACGTGTGAAATTTAAACTAGTGACCTATCAAAATGAGCAAGTCTTCATACCGTTAGCATTAAGAAACTACTTCCATTGATTCTACAAAAACAGATGCCAACAATAACATCTTGTTAAGTTTAAATGTGTTTTATAAATGTATTTCAATCTTCATCATCAATTTCTTCGTCTGTTGAAACCTTTAAGATTTTTTCTCAGTACCGTTTTGTTTTTATAAAGGGACGTAACACCACTACTAACCGTGTATGAAATAAGCCCCGCCTCCCTACTAACCAAATATGGAATATACACGGTCTCCACGCGGACGCTTTTAACCAATCATATTCCTAGAAATGAATAGGAGGTAAGATAAATATATATATCATATATGATTTGGGGTCTTCACAGGCTCATATTCCTTGTCAGTGTTTTACATCTCCTGAGCCGTCAGCCGAATGGTGATTTAGGGCGCCGACAAGGAATATGATCCAATATCCTCTGTGAAGCCCGAATAACAATTATATTAAACTGGAGTGTCCTGATTTCAACATTATATACCATTCTGGTCATCATTTTTGTTCTCAGTATATATGGGCTCATATATCCTGTCAAGGCATTCAATTAAATTGCATGATTATCTCAGATATTTCCTTCCAATATAATATATGTGTAAATTCTTATTTTGTATTTATTAATTTTGTCTTCGTATAATTGTATTTTATTTCAATTAAAATTAATAATGTTGTTGTGGGGTATGTTGTAGACTTAACAATCGATAATGTTTGAATCAATTGTAATAATTGAATCTGCGAAACGGTTTACACCTCTACTATGCTACTGTCTGATTACCCAGGCTTCCGACAGCTTAAAAGTGCTTATCGAGGGAAGCTCTTTAGTTGCATGGAACTTAATCAGGTCTAAAAAGTATTTGAATGATCGCAAGGAACCTTTCGGACAGTGTGATAAAAATTCGAGAATCTTTTTTTTATCAAGCGTCTTTAGTTATCTTTAAACTGTTATATATATAGTTAATACTACTTTTGGCGATCTAAATTATGGTTACTAGTTTCGCATACACATACAGTGTTATTCAGGAAGTTAAAACATATTCAAATGAGTTTAACTATTTCAGTATTTAATTTCATTTTCATGTTAACCCTCTGCCTTTAAATCTGTTTATTTGTTTGCATGAAGGGTATTTAAACGACGTAAATAAATAGTGTTTACAATGAATGCATTGTACTCTATCATAGCGGTATCAAATATAACGGAAACTTAGACACAACCAAAACAATAATAACATTTTAGATTGATGGCAGTTCTATTTTAGTATGTATTACGGATCTGTGTAGAAAACCGGTCATTGTTTTCTTTGGTTTTATACAGGGGGTTTTGGTATTATTTCTACGTATTTATACCAGACGAATACTAGTATAAGTAGTAGAAACGAACGTTAAATACTCTGGTGTCAACCATGTTGTCATTTCGTCGGATGTATTTTTTTATTATTATATTATTTATAGTCAGTTAGTAGACACTCAATTTCTAGGAGTTCTTCTAGATTAAAGTTAAGGAAAAGACGTTGACGTTTCGTTTTGTAATGTAATGATTCACATTATTCCAACTGGTTTCATTCCTCCACTAAAATAGTCATAAAAAACACATGAAGGCAGATTTATAACACAATCTTCGTAAACGCTTTGTATGTCTAGCATTCATGTAAAAAGGGTACAATTTTTTTTTTCTATAACATTTTCAAAATGATTTTATAAGGAAACAATGTATTTGGAATATTGCCGCTGTAAGCATGCAAATCAAACGAAGTAATACCTTAATTAATTTTTTTTATTATTATCATGTTAACGATGAACCTTTATCCATTTCAAAAAGTGTTCCTCAGCAACTCATTTCTGTAAGAAAAAAAATGTTGATTTTTAAAGTCGTCAAACGCGATGGCAGGTCGGTGATATTGTAATACTCCAATTAAAATATTTTGTTTAATCCGCAACACTTCTAGTAAAACGGGGAATCATGATGACATTAAACTCATCCTTAAACTGATTTTTTTAAAAAGGTATCTATATTTCAGTTGAATTATATCTGAAATTTTCTATGCCGTAATGCTGCTAATGAATCAATGCTTTATAAGTTAACTGAATGATGTGAGTTTTATTCTATGTAGATTTAGACTAATTCCATCGATTGATTACAAAACAGAATAACTTTACTAAGAATGGAAAATACTGTCAAAAGGACAAACAAATGCACAGGTGGAAACAGACTTTTGATAATAGGAATACTTGTGTTTATATCTACCACAATGATAATGACAGGTTTATTTATCAGTTTAAAAATAAAAAGTGACGAGAAAGGTAAGTTATAAGATACAATAGTTCAGATTGAATAGTTCAACTCATTTCACGTAGAATACTAGGATTAAACCATTATGTTCACATAGTATTCAATGGATGACTCTCTATGAGAAAAATAAAGATATATCGAGCAAAACAGTGTGTACAAACCTGCTTATAGTGCATGAGACCCGGAGAGGACTTAATCACACTCACATATTACAACTTGCTGTATTCTCCCGAAATCATACGGTGTCTAGCGAATACTGAGTATATTGATAGGATCTCTTTGTTGAATTTAGCGAATGTTGAGCTTGCATATAAAATATTCGATTCAGTCTAGAACATCAATAGTTAACGTTATCAAACATTAATATACGAGTGTCACGGTCATGGACATGAACACAAGATTAGTTAAACGCTACCGTAGCTCAATATTGGTTGCTGAACGCCACGTGGCTTTACATTATTTGTCTTTATGCAGAAGATTTGTTGTGCATAAATGCCATATATTATTAATCTATAAAGGCCAACTTATGCTTGCACATTGATATTGTTCCCTTACAGACGTGTATCTCTAATAAAACTATACTATGAAGAATAAAAAAATGAATTGATGATTTTGACAAATCTAAACCTGTGCATTTCAGTTATGAAAACATGAATGATTAAGTCGTTTGTAAAAAAAAGTATAGACCATTTAAATCATTGAAATTCAGTTACATGTTCAACAAGACCTATTCATTTGAATTTGTAGGAAAAAGACATCAAAGAAATACATTAAAAACACAGAAAAATTGTAATGTGACCAATGTCTGCCAAAACAGTACACATACATATACAATATCTGTACATTGTCGGAAAATAAAATAATTATTTGTATGAGCTTTAAAAAAGGACATGAGGACTTTTCTCATGTTTTGTAGCGAGTACAAATAAATTTTATATTTTCCGACAATGTACATATATTGTTTTTATCCTGACATTTACACCCATCACTTTAAACTTTAGTTGCTAAAATCTAAATCATTGTCTCTAATTTTTCAAAGAAATCGAGATAGTTTAAATGCAGACCGCGAAGAGGACCCAAAAAAAACTGTTACGCAAAAAAGAAATAACCACATTACCGCTTGCTCAATAGGAATCGGCGTAACAGGAGACTTTATTTGAACAAGTACAAATAAAGCAACAATTTATTTGTGTACCTGTTATTTGTACAATAGTTGGCTGATTGCAGGATAAAACCAACGATTAGGGAAGACGTAACGCAGCATATTTTTCTTAAGATATCCAGAAAGCACACGAACGTTCTTGTCTTTGCAAGTCAAATATGTTGGTGCTTTTTAAAATGTGTTGTATAAAAACTAAGGAAAATGGTAATATATGATATATGAATAAGAAACAATATAGGGTAAATTTGTAAATATATTACTGTCTTGCAAACATTATGACTAACGTCTAGCTGCATACAATACATGTTTTGTAGTGGAACAATGTTCTCTGCCATGCACAAATGGTGGGACTTGCAAAGTGTGCGGAAATGCATATGTATGTGATTGTCCATCAAACAGCCTTGGAAGCCTATGCCAATGTAAGTATTTAGTATTTAATAGTGGATAATATGTTTATGACGACGTGTGAAAGATATTGTGGGGGCCCCGGTGACCGAGTGGTCTGATTAGTCGAGCTATTTCATCACTAACCTGTAAACACCGAGGTTGTGAATTCAAATCCCGCACGTGGCAGATAAAGTCGACTCGAATCTTATATGATTAGGAGTGGCAGTTTTCATACTGAAAGTCGGTTTTTTTCCCGAGCATTCAGGTTTTTATATTTAATAAAATTTGACCCAAAAAAAGCACACTAGCGGTAAAAGTGGCGTATTAAATGATAGTATGAACAATATTACTCTTGAATCTGTTATATTGGAAGATAAAAACAAATAGATAGTAACTCACTGCATGTTATTACGATGAGTTTATTTACATTGTCACTAACTTACAAGAAATTAGATGGATTTAGTAAGATAAAATGTATACAACGACAACAGATCATTGCCACATACACGTATTATTGCAAGCTTTAAGTAGATACACCATCGTACAACAACTGAAAATAAGTTATGAAGGATCTTATACAATTTTCAGATAGTACAATATCAGCATTTTCAGATTTGGAAAATAAATATTGAAAACATTGATTATAAGTCGCAAAATAAATTGAAAAAAAATCTCAGATTAGATAAATACATCCTTAGTAACTCATATAACCAAAATTAATCGGTTTTGTATTACGGAGAAGTAAACTTGAAATTATACAGAAACTAAGGTTTCAACTCCCTCAAGCAAAGTTGGCCTTAGATGGACTTGGCTATTTTAAAGGCCCTTTTTAGTTTATACATTCTTTGCTTTCAAATATTCGGCTTTAAGCGTTCAAGAATAGCCCTCCGAAAGCATGAAATTTATAGTGTGTAGTTTTCATTTGTTAACAAATTTGTTCAATGTTCCGATTGTTCTTTTGTTTTCCTCTTATAGATTATGTGTTTTCGTCGGTTTAAGTTTATAAGCCCGATTTATGAATTTGAACAGCGGTAAACTACTGCTGCCTTTATTCAGTTCCATGTCAAGAGACTTTTATTCAGTGGTTGTCATTGTTCAATCATAAACTGAAGGCGACAGTAATTTATCTATGCATCTAACTCGATTACAATAACATACATTTTTTTAAATCTTTTAGAATCAAATTTTACATTGATATCATTATGCAGGCTGTTGAAGTAAAATTTTGAATAATAAGTCCCAATTATGAATTATATATTGTATTGTTTATTGTATGATTGGTCTTGATATTATGGATTTGATTTGTTTTTGGTTAAGGCTCTACGATGGCAAATATTTTAAACATCCTTGTCCTTTGTCTTTGTGGATCGCTGTCTCACATGCAACTATACTACATTTCCTTATATTTGGTTTCTGGATTGGTAAAAACTTATTTTTGTAAAATGAAGGCACTAAAGTTGTATTATCCTAGCCTGACTTGCAAATACCGTGAAACATGTCAATATGTCCTACATGTGTCTCAGCATAGCAAAAACAAATTCAGCATATTAAACTGTAAAGAGTGTATTTATTTTTAAATCAATTCAATCAAAATTACAATTGATTGACCTAATTTTATATAAAAATTGAAAGCTTTGTTTTAAAATATGTGCATTTAATTCAAGTGCAAGTTACAATATCATTAATGGGGAAATGTCGTTCGTGTATTACATTAGAACACTGGCATAACGTTTAAGTAAAAGAGTGTATAAATTACAAAACAGTCAAAATGTAATGTAGCTAGTCAAAACGTATATATGCTCATCCATCTGTACTCAGCACTACTCATTGGTTCTGAGTAATGTCATACTTGTTGGTTTTGAGAGAAACAAACATTCAAAGGAAATATCCATTATAAACATCACACTTCTCGTTTCTAACTCTTTTAATATAGATAATTTCCGATTGTAAGAGGATGACTTACAATGTACATCTAATAACATATGACCGTTATGTCCTCGACCGTTTATTATTTGATATATATTCATTTTAAGGTAAAGATGTTCACTTCTCACCAAAAGGACAAGTGCATACGTAACGAAGAAATCGTTCTTTGAAAATACATTGTAATCTATATATGGTTTGAATGTCAGTGTTATCTAAATGTAATGGACGCATGTGAAGTAAACTAATTACCAATAGTAATTTAGAAAGCACTCTCCCATTTTTCCGTGCATAAGATACTTTGCGGTCGGTCAATGTTAAATGCACCATTATTCACTATTAATATTATTTCTGCCAATAAATATCTGCAATACTAATACTTAGATGTTAACATTTAGAGATGTACTATATTGATATATTATTTATTATACAGATACATGTGATATTGGATGGTCTTTGTACGAGACAACATGCTTCAACATCAGTACACTCTCACTCAGTTGGAACCTTGCTAAGGTACAGTGCAATGCACTCAAGTAAAAATAATATACCCATTTCTGCACCATGTCGTATACTAAATACATGCAAGTATTCTCTGCAATTTGAACCTGTCTTCTTTGAATTATCTATTCATTTTATCAGTTGTATATAGAATACCATATATAAGTAATTCAGTTTTGATGAATATGTTATACATATTCCAAAATGGCAATGTATTTAACATGTTCAACATGTTTAACCAATTGAAATAAAATAGATTGTGCATAAATTAAAACACAACAATCAAAATGAGAACAGATTTCCTTGAAGTCCCTGTTAGTGTTGACATATGCAAAGCATTTGTTTACCACGTGGAATGTTTACCACATAATATGAAGTATTGAAATAACCTCAAATATTGTGTCACAATCAGAGCTGCCGCAAATTTTTCTACAACGAATCACCATGATGCTACATTGTGTGTATGACTTATTTATTTGTTTAGTTAAAGATAAAAGTGATTTGTTTTAAAAATTAGATAAACAAATCAAATTCAAAATACATGATGTTTATCCCTTGCTAAAGATTTACAATTTGAATATAGTTCATAACCTTCGACAAATTGTTATAAATGTGCTCCAGATCTGCAAAATTCATTAAACCGATAGATTATCATAACATCTGCGTATAAAGCAGGCTTAATATTTGGTATGCAAGAAGCACGTTTCTTCTCAAAATCAACTTTTGTGAATATTTAATGTAAATAACAAACATGACAAACACATAAAACGGTCCTTTAAATTGTCTGAAAATAAGAATATGGTGTAATTCTTGTTATTCTTGCTGTTTTTCCGACACTATTATATTTTTTTTACTAATTATTTTACAATACAATGTACTTACTGCAAATGATACATACATATCAAATATGTGTTCACTAGTTATTGCTGGTTTCGCTTCGTTCGGTTCAACCCACCATTTTTTTTTAAAATGTCCTGTACCAAGTCAGGAAAATGGCAATTGTTATCTTATAGTTCATTTCTGTGTAAGTTGCATTGTCGTTTAGTTTTTTGTTGCATTTTAGTGTTTTTGTTGTTTCGTTGTTTTCCTCTAATAATTGACGTGTTTCCCTCAGTTTTAGTTTGTAACCCGGATTTGTTTTCTCTCAATCGATTTGTGACTTTCGAACAACGGTATACTACTGTTGTCTTTATTTGTGTGTTTGTCTGTACTCACTTGTTGAAGTTTCATAAGTGGATTTACACATAGATACTGTCTTAGTTTTCTTGAGTATTGGTATATCAAATGAATATTTATTAAAACAAATTCAAATCAGAGGAGTCATATTTCATGTCCCCTAGCAATAGTTGAATAACAAGGAGACGTGTTACCACATTCGTATTAATCTAATTCAACAAAAAGTTTCTTTTGAACTATTCGGCGCTTTTGTTGTAATGTAAAACGAAGAATATGACACAGAATTTCATTTGGTTTTCAGGATTCTTGTCGATCCATGGATGGGAGGCTTGCTGAACAGATAACAGAGGGAAAACATGCATTTATTCAACAGCTTGATGTTGAGATACATGGGACAGGTATGGGGATAAAAATATAAGAACTGACTAATACAGTCCTCAATGGAAACAACTGCATGACGAATTCTGACTACCAATCATGCAATTCATAGATGACAGGATACTTTGTGATGAAGTTATGTTATGAAACTTTTATTTCATCTACATATGACCATTCTTACATTCAAAAGTTAATCTTGATTTAATTGCTCTTTTAAACTTCTCTGTCATTTAACAATCAAACAATCGGCAATTTCATAATACAATTCATCTGATTTTGGGTGGGGCATACATTGAATTAGGTTCAATGTTGTGGAATAAACATGTCAATAGATATTTACAATGTACAATGAAAACAACCAGTATTCAATATTCTAATTGTAGCTAATTTAATTAAAAGCATTATCAATATATGTATTTTCCCGTCACATTTTTATAACTTTTCGAGATATATTAGATTCAAACCAGATAAAGTAATCACATGGATAACTAGACAAAAAAAAATATCTTTGAGTTCGAACCCAAATTTGTATGTGTTTTCATCTTTCGTGGAGACTTGTTTGATTGACAATCATTTTTAATATGAACCGTTCATAAAAGACTTAACAATATTATGAATATATTCTAAAATCTTATTCAGTCTTTCTGTCAGTTTTCAAACTAAGGCACTGCAGTACATTCAAGTCATTTAATTTCGCATTCAGATATATTGATGATGTTCTTTCCATTAACAATCCAAACATTTCTGATTGGGTTCAATTAGTATATCCCTCAGAACTAGAAAGTGAAGAAAACACAGACACGGCTTCCTCCGCCTCATTTTAGACTTATACCTCGAATTTGACAAACACCATGTACACAGTCATCTCAGTACAAGAATCTATGACAAACGAGACGATTTTGATTTTGAAATTATCAATGTCCCCCATCTCAGTAGCAATATACCAACTTCATCTGCATATAGGATATACATGTCGGTTTTCAAGAGCCTTCAGCTCCAACTCAGACTTTGTAAAACGTCACCAGTGTCTGAGCAGAAAGTTGATGAACCAGGGGTATGTCAAACGTCTGCTAATTTTTATAAAAAAAGTTCATCGGATGGTACCAAGACCTTGTTGATAAATATCCTGTATCAACTTCACAAATAATACACGATGGTCTTGAAGTATAAATTCTGGTTACTGACGTTGTTTTCTTTTAATAACGTGTCATATTAATCCTTTTTTGTCTCTATGAATATAACTGTTTAGTCTGTTTTTGGTGATATCCATTTGACGTAGCTCTGTTATTATACATCCAGTCATTGTGTTATTGTTCTATGGTAAAAAAGAAAACTGTTTTCGCGTCTTTCATTTTTGCTAATGTGCTATGTCTGTATGCTTTTCGTGTTTCTTTGTTACATGACGTGGCTCTGTACCTATACATCCCGTCATTGTGTTACTATCTTTTTTGTATTCTCATCTTTCATTTTTGCTAATGTGCTTTGTGTATATACCTTTTTGTACTTTTTTGTTACATATTTGTTTGTTTTCATAGTGATAAAGATTATAACACATTGTTTACTGCTTTACCCCTATTTTTGACATTTTTACCTTTTATGTCTGTTTTGTTTTGTTCAAACATTGTTGTAAATATAATGGAATTTCATGCAACTGTCATACAAGTGAGAGGTTTAGCTAGCTATAAAACAAGGTTTAAGCCACCATTTTCTACTTAAGAACATGCCTGTACCAAGTCAGAAATATAACAGTTGTTATTCATTCACATGATGGATTTGAGCTTTTGGTTTTGCTATTAGATTAGTGTCTTTCAATTAAGATTTTTTCAGTTAAAGTTCAAACTGTTCAATATTGTTTATATCCTGTGCACGAAAAAAACAACACTGAGTTGTTTGAAAAGCTACTTAACACTACTTGATATTTAACAACAAACAATATTAATATAACATTGACCATTAACAAAACCGAATGTTTTAGTTTCATACCTGTCAGATATGGTGCAGATCTAAATGACTGTTTCAGAGTGCAATTCATTAACTATTGAGTGTAAGCTTATTGAAACACGATTCGTATAATGGTATGGACGATTTTTTAAAAAGTAATTTAAAATGATTATTAGATGTATTGCCATCAGGAAATAACAAATCAAAAGACATAGAAGTATAATATTTCAAGAAGAAGAATTTATTATAGTTTAAGTTCACACTTTTAGCAATAGACTGGTTGTGGTTGGGAGGAACAGACATGGATAGTGAAGGAAATTGGATCTGGAACGATAGTAAAAAAACATTGAATTTAACCTTTTGGAGACCTGGTGAACCCAACGACGCAGGCAGTGAAGATTGTTTGGCTACTCATACTGGCGTTTGGAATGACATTCCTTGCACAGCTGAAAAACAATTTGTTTGTGAAAAATCGTAAGTATTAAAACTTTTGTCGTTGAAGTTCCTTTTCAATTCAACTTAATTACTTCATTGTGATTACGGCAATTAATTATCATTAATACACTTTGTTGTTTAATTCAACTTACGTTTTGTTTTTTCTTTGAATGCATACATACAATGTATTTTTCATAATGCTTGAATTCATATACATTTTGAATTGACTATAAACGAAGTAACACCTTGCATTCGTCAGGTCTGAAGCATGTCAGTTCCCAATCATTGTCTACTGTGCCGATTTTAGCGGACAAACAGACCATCATCAGTGGTATCGATCAATTCACGTGATATAATTTTGAAAGAAAAAAATCCTTTTGAATGTTGTGCGTCGTATACGCTTTTCTGTATTAAGCTTAATCTGGTACACTATTAACTCGAATTTATAAAGCAAGGAATGTACCCAACAAACGTTATGAGATATATGACCAAAGGAATAGTCAATGTATTTTTAAATTTGTATTTATTATACCAGCTGCAATCGTATCTGCATGTCATGAACAGCTGTTTCTAACAAGAATATATTTTTTGCAGAATTGCTACTTGACAGGAACACATCAACCAGGACAACGAATGTTTGCATGTTTACATCATAACTTTGAACAAGTGGATTGTTTGTTTTCGTGTTGTTGTTTTTCGTCTTTACATAAAGTTGTTTTTCAAATAAAAACCAATCACGACACGACACGAACAGTATACGCCATATTAATTCCCTATTTTTTTCTCACATTCATTCTATGTTAAAAACTGATCGGATATTAGGGTTCTTTATGCTCTTTTTTTCCTTACTGGACCGTCACTGATGAGTCTCTTTAAGAAGAAATGCCCGTTTGGCGTACACAATTTGAATCCTTGTATTTATAAGTTTGTTTACATCCAGAACTAGATCTAATTAAAGGCTGTTAATGTCGTTATTATAAAAAATAAGAAAAACGAACACCTACTTATAAATGAATATGAATTTATATCCTAGAATGTTTTTAATGTTTGGGTCCAAATGTTGTCTTCGGAAAAGAACGGGTACGTACTTTACAAATATCATACATACATTACCATGATTACGTCTTTATAAATATAAGTTTCGTGTGTAACGTTCTATGGTGGAATGAATTAGATAATCAAACAGTTACCTTTTCATCTCTATTTTTAAAGTATTTTACTTACACATCTTTGTTTACATATGTATCGACAATTAAAACAATGTTATTTATAGTTATTTTTAAATCAAGGGAGTAGGTTTTCTGATATCACGCGAAGACAAACGTTTGCAATAAATAATCAGATAAGTAATAAAACACACAGTCACATTTTCGAATCAAACAATTTGGATTCAGTATTAAGCCAAAAATAGATAAAGGTTATTTTTAACTTACCTGAAATACACTCTGCATTGCATATTTCGGTTTATGGAGGGATAATGTCGTAATTAAAAAAAAGATGTGTGTCCTATAAATGGCATCAACATATTATTATAACAGTCGAATTTAATCAATCATTTTTTTTCTTTTTGAACATTGATTTTCTGAACAAATATAGCTATATGTTGTTTTTAATTTTGTAGTAAGATTAAACGTCTGTAGCGGACGTTTATTTTTATATGTTCCCCTTATAATGCCACTATTGTAAACATTACAATCATTAACTATTTAATACAGCTGACCTACAATTTTAGACCCTTTTATGTAATTTGAAAATTCAGTATATACTATAGTAAGCCTTAGTTGTCGTAATTTGTGTGACAGCACAGCATTTGTTTTTGGAAACAAGGAATAAATCTTTTTCTATTCATTGTATTCTGGTTAATCTTTTTAATTTGCCTGACTACATTACATTCAGGTAAAAGTCGCGTGCAGTCAAGTAGGGTCTTGTGTAATGCAATGTAATTGCCGTTTAGGATACACTATATTAGCTAGGGAAGAAAAACATGTCAAATCCTTCAAAAATTGTCTATGAGATCCTTTTATCTTACGGCTAAAAGGAACATAACATATATTGGATATGAATCAGTACTTCAAAAACAGATATTCAAGCTCCGTATTGCAAAGTATCTCACAAAAAATGTACTAGCATCTGCCTTTAAAAGCAAATGATACAAACACTTATGGAAAAAGTTAAGTTATTGTTTCCATATCGGTTGATGTTTTTTTAATTCATATCTTCATTGGTCAAAACTTAATAATGCCTTCAAATGTTATTGTCTGTGCATTTCCTATATATGAAGAACCGATAACATGAATAAGAGGTTACCATGTCCGATAACTTTACAGAAAGAGCATTATTTCTTCTATCAATGAAAAAGAAAGATAGATTCATGTATCGTCTAATAATCATTAGAAAAATAAATTCCATCTCTGTCTCTAGTAACTCAAACTTTCCACCACTCACTACGGTTGCAATATGAATATTCAGAACTGTCTCAATTCAACAGATATCGTATCAATAAAAATGCAGAATTAAAATAGTTTTCTTCCGTCTGCATGACATAATGCCATTGTACAATTTCCTGTCAAGTCATATACCAAAATATTTTGATGCAACTTACGGATTTATCTGTTGATAGCTTTGTTTGTAATTTAATGATCAATGATCATTCCTATCAATGTGTTTTTAATGCATAGAAGTACAATGATCGACGATGCTAGGGACTGTAATAAAATTATAATGAAATCATCGCAAATATTTTTGACAAAGATAAACATATGTATAGGAATAGTTTAGAGGATACATCGAGAGGAACAACGTTTTTAATAACGACAAACATACACGAGCAATAGCGAAATGAATATTAGTTTGAGTTGATTTATAACTTCTGCAATTACAAAGAGGGGGAAATTAGGGGTTGCCTTGGTAGATTATTTGCTTCAGTTTGATTGGTGACTGATCATTTGTAACTGAAGAGTGAGTGAAAGTAAATTAAAGGGGCCTTGTAAAATTTTGGGAATGGAAAGGAGGACTGCCAAATGTCTTTTTTTGATACTTCAAATGAGGGGGGGGGGGCAATGAAATGTTTTTCAAAATATTTTAGCAACTCTGTATACAATGAATACACTCTTTTCCCTTTGTGACGTAGAGATACATAATCAAGAAACGCACAACCTACCTTGCACTCCCCTTGCACTCCCCATACAATAAAAAAAATTGTAATACTTTGAAACAAATAAAATGATTTCCGCTCGTCTCAATTCTTGAGATCCCAAATTCTAATGTGAAAATTGTTTTTGTCTTTGAAAGGTTGCTGAATTTATTTTCTTTCATTAAGGTGGGAACTTGGAAAAAATAGAGAAATCCAATGTGTCTTTCCATCCACTGGAATGCTTAAAAATAAGAATCTTGTCACCTAAACACAAAATTAAAAATGAAGAAATTTAAACATATTTGGGATTTGAAAATTTAGCATTTTTATTCCTACATCATTCTAAATTTGAAAATGAAATTTTATAAGTATTAACATAAACAATCACATAATGACAAAGTTTTCAAAGTAACCTAGAATTATAGAAGTGTTTTTTTTTATAATCAGAAAAACCAACCAGGTATTGAGTACGGGTATGAAGCATACATTTTATACCTCTAAAAAAGCGGATCTGATAGGACACATGGCAACTGGTGTAATTACATTGAAACTATGAATTCATACGATTACATTCATACATAAAAGTTATTGTTTTTTTCAATTTCTGGACTGTTATTCGTTTTAGAAAAAATCGTAATGTATATACAAAAATGTCTTTTCAATAAAGAGCACTTTCTTCTACTGAAGTGTTTAAACGGAGGACATGCATACGATAGGGGATTATGAAAATTGTATCTTGACAGAATTATTTAAAGTTAACTTCATAAAGTCCGTGAATGATAAATGCTGAGTATGACATAGATTTAGGAACTAGTAAATAAGCGTTTATATATTTTTTTGAGAATATTTAGTACAAAATTAGGTGCATGCACGACGTACCGATCCCCCTTCGTGAATTAAAAGCAGATGTCCCTATATAGCGCTGTGCTAGCACAATCACTTCTAAGTGGTTATGGTAAAATATTTGGACTTTTGGAAGCAAGGTGCTCGTTTCAGTTAAATTAAAATAAAGTCAAACGTAGAAATGGTAAAAGTACAATTATTTCAAGAATTTAAAATTTCAGTTATCGATACTTGTGATCGTGACAAAATAACATGAATACATGTATTCTGATCATCCAATGGAACTGAATTTTCTGTAAGATAATGTAATATTGTCGATTTTAACAAAACGTCAACACGTTAAATCACTACGATTTGTCTTAAGACTGCCTGTTAACACTCGTAAGTTTACGATAAAACTGACGAGAAAATTATACTTTCGATTGTTTATGAAACGGTCAAAAGCTTACGTTTTGACTTAAGACCGACGTAAGATTTAAGATTGTGAAACGATGGCCCGACCTTTAGCATGGAAAAAACATCAACATTTAAGGAATTAATATGAAGTTTAGACATATAAACGTGTTTAATCTAACCTTCCATGTTGTTTCACCATCGTTTACCTTTATTTCGTACAATTCAGCTACCAATTGTGCAGATTTAAATTGATGAAAAATTATTTTGTAGTTAAAAGTCGAAATCGAGGTGTTGCAGAGTTCGAAATAAGATATCAATTCACAATGACACTTTTTTTTAACATTGCTTTTCTGCCTGTTGTTTTTGCATATGCACAAACATGTCGTCATTCCCCTCCTAGTCAAAAAACATTTAAACATATTCATTTAAAGTGATATAGTTACGATACAGCTGTGAGGTCATTAAAGATGGTGTTTTTGGACAAATTACTATTGATCCACTCATAGCGTCTTTGCAACGGAAATGAACACTTTATTCTGAAACCATTTGTTGGCATGATACGGGTAATGTTCTTCTCGTATATTTTTTTATGGTATAATACTAAACCTTTAACGTGAGGGATTGTGCTAGATTTTCATACGATAAAGACACAATCTTTCAACCAGTTTAATTCAGGTCTGGAGCTGGCATGTCAGTAATTGCTAGTAGTCCTTTGTTAATTGATGCTTCGTTGTCATTTGCCTTGTTTCTTTTTTTTTTATTTATTATTACATCAGTCTCGGAGTTTTTTTAACCTGAGTTTTACTGTGCGTATTTCTGTGTGTTTGTTTATTGTACAATGGCTAGATATTGTACACATTGTTGTTTATGGGTAAACTGAAGCCTGACTCTGGGTGCGGGATTTTCTCACTGTTGAGAACCCATTGGTAGCCTTATGCAGTTTTCTGCTCCTTGGTCGGGTTGTTGTCTCTGACTTCCCTGTTTACATTCTCAATTTTATAAATATCCTCATAGTGTATTTATACCCGTTCAATTTATAAAAGTGGTAAATACTTCCCTATATAAGCAAATTGAATTATAAGCAACAATTTGTATCTTAAGCTGATTTAGTTTTAACATGTTTAAGGATGACATGTAGAAAAAACTGATTTCTATTTCCGGCAATGCTTTTGCTATAGACTTTTATTGTATTTTATGTTTCTATTTTTGAACATAAGATATTTTCAAATAAAATTGTCCTTGCAAATATTTATGTATATTCATATTGAAGAGGAAACTATATAGCGTCATCCTTATAATTTATAAACACGGAAAATAAAATATTTGGAAATTATATGTCAAGATTAAATTTGTCATCGATGTTTTCTTCA